GATGGATGGAGAAGATGCTACCAGGGAGCAGCAAAGAGGTCCTAATCAAGTCTATTGTGCATGCCACTAGTCTAATTTACTCTTCATTATGACTAGCCTTAGACATAGGCTCCTCCCTGAAGGGACGTCCCGTCTTTGCTCCTTTTTCAATTCGTATTAGCTGTACCAGTGGGGTCTGTAATGAACGTTGGTTTCTGGTAAAAGAAATCGGAGAGAAAACTTGCTTTACAAAAGACACAACAAAGTCTGGCATCTTTTTTCCATGTTTATAATTACTCGTTTGCATCGTAAGCAAGAGTTAGACTTGGCAAAGTCTACACCTATGGCAGCCAAAGCAGGGGGTTCCTTCCTTGAATTAGCTGGTCTCCTGTATCTAACAGCTTTTTTTTTAGGGGTTCCTGTATCTAACAGCTAGGTGCTTCTTGTTTGGCAATGATAGATAGCAATTGCCGGTTATATATCATAGCTTAGAAAAGCGACCTTGTTCTCTCCAGTGTAGCAATCTTATATGTTATCGGCTGTTGGCGAGATGTGTACGTCATTTTATTGTGTTGTAGACATGTTGCAAATGATAAGCTCGTGTTACCCGGTAAGATGGGGATGGCCTGGACAGCTACACTTTTTTTTTCTATTTTTCTTTAGCGTTGGGACAATATTGTCTGTTCGAAAGGAAGACTTTGCTTATAAACATAGTGATCAAGTACGTCCTCGGAGTATAGTAGCACTCGCAAAGAAACTTCCACTTGCTCTTTCGTCATTATCTGATCTATAGGTTGTGGAAATTTTCCACCATTTTGAATAAAAAAAATCTCTTCTTAATTCCCGTCCACCTTGCACGCTATACTCCAGCTCGGATCATATCCCTGAACACTGCGTGGGTGGACACCAGCAGGCTTTGGTGTTTCGTCCAGTTAGAGAGAGGCTTCTTGGTCATGGGACGTCTCTATTCTTTTCCTTTTTGTTAGTTGGCCTTAGCTAGGGCCTGTAACGAACACTAAATTTTGGTAAATGAATTCGGGGATGAAACTCTCTCTAAAAAATTGAGCAACGTGGAGTCTTCCTTCTTTCTATGTATGTTGTTACCATTATTGTCAGCTTCGACACAAGAGTAAGACTTGACATAGTCCTCACCTATGGATGCACGATGCAAGATATTCTTTCAATTAGCTGGACTCCTCCGTCTGACATTCATTGGTTGCACCCATCAATGATGGAGTTTACGCTCTGCGCCTTTGTTGGAAGGCATAGATTTCTCAGACGTGCTCTTTAGGGTAAAACCCCAAGATCCGGCATCCAACACCCGGATCATGCTATCGGTGCTTGGGCGGTGTTCCTTTTCTGAAGGCGTTGCCTTCGGAGAACCTTGCATGTGGTTCGTCTATTGTCCAGGACATTGGTGGTGGTGTAGTTGTTTAGTTGTGTGTCGTTAGTTGCGTGACTCTTTTAGTTTTTTACCCTTTCTGTTTTATCTTCTTAACTATGTGCATCCTCAATATCTCAACTAAATTTTAATATTGTGTCGTTGCAGAGGCTGAATGTAATTACTATCATCTTGATATTATGATTTTTTGAAAAATCTGGACTCCTTTGTCTAACACCTAAGGCGTTGTTTTACAATGCTGGCTAGCTTGCCAAATGCCGATTATATATCACAGCTTCAGCTTATTAGTCAAGCGACCTTGTTGACTCTAGTGTGGTACTTCTATATGATATACGTATTGTCAGCAAGATGCGTCATTGCATTGTATAGTAATAAACATGTTGCAAATGGTGACAAGATTAAGCCCATCTGACGCGGTGCGATGGGGATGGCCTGGACAATAACACTTTTATTATTTTTCTTGAGAGTTGGGACAATAATGTTTGATCTACTCCAGAAAAGCATTTAGAAACTTCCACTTGATCTTTCGACCTAATCTGATTGGAATCAAAATACCAGAAAATCTGCTAGTAGATATGTAAAAATGTTCTCTAGTGGCCGGCTGCAAGTGGAGTTCTAACATAATATTGTTGCGGGCTGCAAGTGGGCGTAGAGTTAATATTGCAAGCCGATCGCTGTCTCTATTAAGCAATGTGTGCTCCATGCGGCGATACATATGCACACAGTATATGCCTATATGCCATGTGAGACGCACAGTGTATGCCATCTGAGGTGCCATAATTTGAATGAATTATGAATAAGCAAAGAAAGATCTTAGATCGGAAAACCAAAAAGGAAACGCCGATCAAAGTAACCGGCGAGAGATAGAAAAAACCGGATCAAAGAATCGAGAAAAAACTCTCTTGGGCACTGGTCAATATGACCGGCAGAAGAACCCTAGGTACGGGCGGCGCAGTCCCTGGCGGCAGTCATGGAGGCCGACCGCCCTGGGGGCAGCACGCGGGGCAGAAGCATTGGAAGGTGGCTAGGGTTTGGACCGGTTAGTCTAATACGATGTTAGAAGGAATAGAGAGAGATTGGTAGAATATGATGTGTGTTGTATTGAGCCTTCAGGCGTTTTATACAGAGTACAAGGCTTGGAGCACAATAAGTCTCTTCTAAAGATAAGGCAGGAGATGATTATAAATCATAATCTACCATATGCAAATATATGTCTATATACTCTAACAAGCAGTAAGGGCCAAAGGAGAGCATCTCTGTCCGATTCCAGTTGAGGACTGAGCCAAGTGGCGAGCGAGATTATTGAAGGATGGGTTACCCACACGACAAGTGATGAAGTTTAAACATTTGGGAGTGCCGGATGAATGTCCCAGATGCTGTCGAGGAATAGAAGACAACTTTCATGCTGTTGTGGCGTGCCCTACCTCCAGCGCTGTTTGGGATGCTATGGGGGAAGTCTGGAATATCCCAGCAAAGGAGGTGATTATAAACACAGGCCATGAATGGCTCTTTGATCTGCTAGTTACCCTTGAGGAGGAGGACTGGGCAAAAATCTTGATGATCATATGGAGGAACTGGGACTAAATCATCTAACTTCCCGGATGGTCATCCATCCTCCCACTACCCCAACCTGAGCACGCTTAACTTTCGGGTTCTATTCTCCTTCATTTCCAAGTCTGCACATATTGTTTTCCTGACAATAGTAAGATGTCAATCCTATTAACTCTCAGGAGTTTAGCTTGAGCATGAAGTCACACATTTCACTGTTTGAGTTTGAAACTATAGTAGGTCACCTTGTAATGGAGATTCAGGAGATAATGAGAGAAAGGGAGCTTGTGGACTTGTGGTACGTCGTGTTGGTCGTTTGCAGAATAGAGCTGCAGATCACCTTGCCTATATGTCGAGAGTGGAGCACATCACCGAGTTGTGGCTGCAGGTGCCTCCAGCTGCTCTTGTGAGCTATCTGGCAAGCGATTGTACAACTATTCCATAATTAATAAAGCCCCTTTTTCAGTCGTAAAAAAAAAGTGGCGAGCGAGGTCTATTCTCCTTTTGACTTTTGATAAGGTGCCGTGCGTGAGAATATTCTTGCAGGTGTGTACGTAACTGTGAGCGTGGTTTCTTTCTTTAAAACACCTGGAAGCAAAGCAAGTTGAGCGTCCAGCATGCATCCAGCGTTCCAACCTCCAACTCAACTCACAGGCTTCACGGTTGGCAGACCTCAGAGCCCGGCCGGCGGCGGCAAAACCATGCAAGAGAGGCTGTCGTTCCGTGCGATTCGGCCGAGCAAAGGTGCCCTAGCTACTCTCTCTTGGGCAAAGCAAAGGTACCTCCTCCTCCGGATTACTCACTCAGTTAGTACTGCTTCTTCCATCTTCTTTACTGTCAAAAACAAAAATCTCGCAAAAGGCAAAACTAAAAAATTTCACGTGGGTTCTACTACTAGTATTTTCCCTCATCGGATCATGAAACCTAAGGCCTCCTTTGGAATTTCATAGGAATTCTAGAGGATAGGATTCTTATAGGATTTTTTTTTAGAGCCCTTTGATTCATAGGAATGGATTCCTATTCCTACATAGGATTGGTTCCTATCCTCCATATTTCATAGGAAAATAAAAATGAGCCTAGACTCAATGAAAAAATTCCTTTGGTGTTAACCAAATGACATCTTGTTTTCTATTTCTACTTATAGGATTTGAGATACATGTCATCTCATTTCCTACAAGATTCCTATTCCTACGATAATCCTATCCTATGAACCAAAAGAGACCCCGCTTGGATCGTTGGATTTTCCCTACACCTGTAACTTACCGTCTCCAATTCAATACATGCGACCGAGTTGTATTTGCTTTGTGTGTGTGTGTGGGGGGGGGGGTTGTAATGTAATACCATGTCACAAGTATGTGAGGAGGAGGAGCGAGTCCACGTCGGTGGGGGTGACAAACTTGGCCGCACTATGACCGCCGGCGAGGAGTAGGAGAAGTAGGAGCGAGTCGATGTCGCCATCACGGTCAGCTCACCACCGCTGGTGCCTAGCCCCCGTCCCGGCACCTAACCCCTGTCGTGGTCGCGGGATCTGGAGCCTCACCACGTCCTCGGAGCCGGAGCCTCACCATGTCGCCATCGCTTCGCCCCCTCGCAGACACCGAGCCGGCGCCTCCCCATTCCTTGTGTCTGCGGTGGCGCAGCGCAGCCCTCGGCCTCGTCTTTCCTAGGTCGTGCGGAGCGAGGGATGGGGGGATAAAAACGACCAGTTCAGGTCTGTATCATATACCGGCCTATTACGGGTGTAAAACGAAAAACCAGTGTAAGTTTTACAGCCCCAAAACGACCATCCAATCACCTATACGAAGCCCACCCGCTTTCTTTCTACAGGGGTATAATTTACAGGTTGTTTGGGCTGCGAAACAACCATCCAAGCGGGGCCTTAGTGTTGTTCATGAGAGCAAAGCTCACAAAACCTATTAGTATTGTTCATGACCTACTCATAAGTTTTTTTTTTCTCTTTGAAAACAAGGTATGCAAGCTGCAGGCTTGTGTATCAATTGATGCACGCAATGACCAAACTTGCAGTAAACATAGTACGCACAATGTTTTATTCTTCATTCAAACTTTGCAGGTGACATGGCCATTAGTCAAGCAGCAAGGCTCGCCACCATGCTTATGCTACTGCCGTTGCTGCTCATTTCTTGCGGAGTCGGGAGCATCCTTTGCTCGTCGATGACGACGGTCCATGATAACAGCACGGATATGACCTCGCTGCTAGATTTCAAGCGGGCCATCACCAACAACTCAAGACAAGCCTTGAGATCTTGGCACGCGAGCGTCCCTCTTTGCAGTTGGGAGGGCGTCCACTGCAGCTCGGGGCGAGTCACTAAACTGCACCTCAGCGACCGAGGGTTGTTGGGCCGGATATCCCCCTCCCTTGGCAACCTAACGTTCCTTAGGACACTGGACCTGTCCCAAAATGGCTTCACCGGCGAGTTACCTCCTTTCAACCGTCTCCACAGACTGGAATACCTTGACTTGGGACACAATTCATTGCAAGGGACGATTCCAGATACTCTCACAAACTGCTCCAAGCTACGGATCCTAGACCTATCTGCCAACTTACTAATGGGTGAAATTCCCCTTGGTATAGGTCGCCTATCCAATCTAAGGAAAATATGGCTTTCCTCAAATAATCTCACCGGAGCAATCCCACCAAGCCTAAAAAATAACAGTCAGCTTGAAGACATCGTGCTTACTGAAAATAAGCTCACGGGGACCATTCCTGATGAGATGGGAATTTTCCCATCTCTTGTTAATTTAGACCTTGCTGGAAATATGCTATCAGGTGGAATTCCAGAAACCTTGTACAAATACAATCAGTCTTCTCTCCAATATTTATACTTATATTCCAATATGCTTGGGAAAACAGTGCCGTCGAACTTTGGTGACACCCTCCTGAGTCTTAAACATCTCTGTTTGGACAACAACAATTTTGAAGGTCATCTCCCTGCTTCACTAGGCAATATTTCAGAGCTAAGACTGTTAAACTTGTCGTCCAACAATTTCATTGGTCAAGTTCCAGGTTCTTTTGGTAATCTTGCACTGTTAGAATACCTAATCCTTCAGCGAAACAACTTTTGGGGCTTCATCCCAATAGAGCTTGGTGACTTAAAGCAGCTCACCCATCTAGATCTGTCTGATAATAATCTGCAAGGTGGGGTGCCATGACACAGAGTATATTTGTTGAAAATAACAGTTCCGTCTCACTTGAAGGCAACATGGACTTTTTTTGGAGGAACACTGGATCTGCTCGCATGTCCCGCCATCTCTCGGAGAGAAGAAACATAGTATGTTCTACCTGATTATTGTACTACGTCATTACAATACTTAGTTGCATGTCACTCATATTCTTTGGCCTATTTTATGCTCACCAAGAAGACGTCAAGAGCAAACCTATCATTGTACTACCTGATTATTGTAATTCACGGGGTTGGGACCTTCCGAACCTTCACTTTGGCAAATAAACGATCCACTGAGAACGTGGCTCTCAGTGCTCAATCAGCAAAACAGATTAAAAGGGGAGTTGCACATAAACAATGCTGGCCGATTGCCAACCACTCCATTGTATTGTTTACAAGCTAAGTTAGGCACGTCTTGATCTTTTCATGCTAACTTTTTCCGATACTAAACTTATGGCAAATTATTATTATTTTGCGGGAAACTTCTAATCTATTCATCTCCAATCATGGTAATACAACGAACACACGAAATAATAAAAATTACATCCAGATTCAAAGGCGCGCCGACTTTGTTTTTGGAAAGGAGGGTCATCCCTGGCCTCTACATCAGACTGATACATGCATCCACATTATCAAGCAAAAGTACCAAAATGTCCGCGAATCAGTACAAGCTCACATGGAGCTAAAAAGATGAAGTATTACCTCTTGAACCGGAGAGTGGCACAGCTCAAGAAAATGTTCCTGAGGTGCCTGCACCGACTAGAGAGGAAGTTAATGATGATGATCATGAAACTTCAGATCAAGTTGCTACTGAACTTTGTAGGTCCACAAGGACATGTTCCACACCAGAGTGGTACGGCAACCCTGTCCTGGAAATCATGTTGTTAGACAATGATGAACCTTCGAACTATGAAGAAGCGATGGCGGGCTCAGATTCCGACAAATGGCTGGAAGCCATGAAATCCGAGATAGGATCCATGTATGAAAACGAAGTATGGACTTTGACTGACTTGCCCGATGATCGGCGAGCCATAGAAAACAAATGGATCTTTAAGAAGAAGACAGACGCGGATGGTAATGTGACCATCTATAAGGCTCGGCTTGTCGCTAAGGGTTATCGACAAGTTCAAGGGGTTGACTACGATGAGACTTTCTTACCCGTAGCGAAGCTGAAGTCCATCTGAATCATGTTAGGAATTGCCGCATTCTATGATTATGAGATATGGCAAATGGACGTCAAAACAACATTCCTTAATGGTTTCCTAAGGAAGAATTGTATATGATGCAGCCGGAAGGTTTTGTCGATCCTAAGAATGCTGACAAGGTGTGCAAGCTCCAACGCTCAATCTATGGGCTGGTGCAAGCCTCTCGGAGTTGGAACATTCGATTTGATGAGATGATCAAAGCGTTTGGGTTTACGCAGACTTATGGAGAAGCATGTGTTTACAAGAAAGTGAGTGGGAGCTCTGTAGCATTTCTCATATTATATGTGAATGACATACTATTGATGGGAAATAATATAAAATTCTTGGAAAGCATAAAGGCCTACTTGAACAAGTGTTTTTCAATGAAGGACCTTGGAGAAGCTGCTTATATATTAGGCATCAAGATCTGTAGAGATAGATCGAGACGCCTCATTGGTCTTTCACAAAGTACGTACCTTGACAAGATATTGAAGAAGTTCAATATGGATCAGTCCAAGAAGGGGTTCTTGCCTGTATTGCAATGTATGAGATTGAGTACGGCTCAATGCCCGACCACGGCAGAAGATAGAGAAAAGATGAGTGTCGTCCCCTATGCCTCGGCCATAGGGTCTATTATGTATGCCATGATGTGTACCAGACCTGATGTAAACCTTGCCGTGAGTTTGGTAGGAAGGTACCAAAGTAATCCCGGCATGGAACACTGGACATCGATCAAGAATATCCTGAAGTACCTGAAAAGGACTAAGGATATGTTTCTCGTTTATGGAGATGACGAAGAGCTCGTCGTAAAGGGTTACGTCGATGCTATCTTCGACACAGATCTGGATGACTCCAAGTCTCAAACCGGATACGTGTATATTTTGAATGGTGGGGCAGTCAGCTGGTGTAGTTGCAAGCAAAGCATCGTCGCGGGATCTACATGTGAAGCAAAGTACATGGCAGCCTCGGAGGCAGCACAAGAAGCAATCTGGATGAAGGAGTTCATTACCGACCTAGGAGTTATTCCCAATGCGTTGGGTCCGATGACTCTCTTCTGTGACAACACTGGAGCTATTGCCCTTGCCAAGGAGCCCAGGTTTCATAGGAAGACCAGGCATATCAAGCATCGCTTCAACTCCATTCGGGAAAATGTTCAAAATGGAGACATGGATATTTGTAAAGTGCATACGGACCTGAATGTCGCAGATCCGTTGACTAAACCTCTTCCTCAAGCAAAACATGATCAACACCAGAACTCTATGGGTGTTCGATTTATCACAATGTAACTAGATTATTGACTCTAGTGCAAGTGGGAGACTGTTGGAAATATGCCCTAGAGGCAATAATAAAATGGTTATTATTATATTTCCTTGTTCATGATAATTGTCTATTGTTCATGCTATAATTGTATTATCCGGAAACCGTGATACATGTGTGAATACATAGACCACAACATGTCCCTAGTGAGCCTCTAGTTGACTAGCTCGGTGATCAACAGATGGTCATGGTTTCCTGACTATGGACATTGGATGTCATTGATAACGGGATCACATCATTAAGGGAAAGATGTGATTGACAAGACCCAATCCTAAGCATATCACAAGATCGTGTAGTTCGTCTGCTAGAGCTTTTCTAATGTCAAGTATCTTTTCCTTAGACCATGAGATTGTGCAACTCCCGGATACTGTAGGAATACTTTGGGTGTGCCAAACGTCACAACGTAACTGGGTGACTATAAAGGTGCACTACGGGTATCCCTGAAAGTGTCTGTTGGGTTGGCACGAATCGAGAGTGGGATTTGTCACTCCGTATGAAAGAAGAGGTATCTCTGGGCCCACTCGGTAAGACATCATCGTAATAGCTCAATGTGACTAAGGGTTGGTCACGGGATGATGTGTTACGCAACGAGTAAAGTGACTTTCCGGCAACGAGATTGAACGAGGTATTGGGATACCGACGATCGAATCTCGGGCAAGTAAAATACCGATTGACAAAGAATTGTATACGGGGTTGCTTGAATCCTCGACATCGTGGTTCATCCGATGAGATCATCGTGGAACATGTGGGAGCCAACATGGGTATCCAAATCCCGTTGTTGGTTATTGGCCGGAGAGTTGTCTCGGTCATGTCTGCATGGTTTCCGAACCCGTAGGGTCTACACACTTAAGGTTCGATGATGCTAGGGTTATTAGGAAGATTTGTATGTGATTACTGAATGTTGTTCGGAGTCCCGGATGAGATCTTGGATGTCATGAGGAGTTCCGGAATAGTCCGGAGGTGAAGATTTATATATGGGAAGTCATCATACGGTCACCGGAAATATTCGAGGGTATGTCGGTATTGTACCGGGACCACCGAAGGGGTTCCGGGGGTCCACCTGCCCTGGAGGGCCTTATGGGCTGTAGGTGGAAGGGAACCAGCCCCTAGTGGGCTGGGCACCATCCCACCCAAGGGCCCATGCGCCTAGGGTTTGGGGGGGAACCCTAAAGGGGGGCGCCACCCTTGCTTGGGGGGCAAGCCCCCTCCCCCTTGGCCGCCGCCCCCCTCTAGATCTCATCTAGAGGGGCCGACCCCCTTCCCCCTTGTCCCTATAAATAGAGGGGCGAGGGGAGGGCTGCAGCACCACATCCAAGGCGCAGCCCCTCCCCTTCCCAACACCTCTCCTCCTCCGCGCGAGCTTGGCAAAGCCCTGCCGGAGAACTGCCACTCCATCACCATCACGCCGTCGTGCTGCTGTTGGAGCCTTCTTCCTCAACCTCTCCCTCCTCCTTGCTGGATCAAGGCGCGGGAGACGTCACCGGGCTGCACGTGTGTTGAACGTGGAGGCACCGTTGTTTGGTGCTTAGATCGGATTCGTCCGCGATCTGAATCGCTACGTGTACGACTCCTCCAACTGCGTTCTAGCAACGCTTCCGACTCGCGATCTTCAGGGTATGAAGATGCACTCCCCTCTTGTTGCTAGTTACTCCATAGATTGATCTTGGTGATGCGTAGAATTTTTTTAATTTCTGCAACGATCCCCAACAAAAAGAACTTGCATGACATCTTTTGTCCTACCCTCCCGTGGCAGCGGGATCCTTACGGAAACTAAGGGATATTAAGGCATCCTTTTAATAGAGAACCGGAACAAAGCATTAACACATAGTGAATACATGAACTCCTCAAACTACGGTCATCACTGGTAAGTATCCCGATTATTGTCACTTCGGGGTTAACAGATCATAACACATAATATGTGACTATAGACATGGAAGATAGGATCAAGAACACTCATATACTGATGAAAACATAATAGGTTTAGATCTGAAATCATGGCACTCGGGCCCTAGTGACAAGCATTAAGCATAGCAAAGTCATAGCAACATCAATCTCAGAACATAGTGGACACTAGGGATCAAACCCTAACAAAACTAACTCGGTTACATGATAGATCTCATCCAACCCATCACCGTCCAGCAAGCCTACGATGGAATTACTCACGCACGGCGGTGAGCATCATGAAATTGGTGATGGAGGATGGTTGGTGATGACGATGGTGGCGGATTCCCCTCTCCGGAGCCCCGAATGAACTCCCGATCAGCCCTCCCGAGAGGTTTTAGGGCTTGGCGGCGGCTCCGTATCGTAAAATGCGATGATTTCTTCTCTCTGATTTTTTCTCTCATCAAAACTCAATATATGGAGGTGGAGTTGGAGTCGGAGAGGCAGCAGGGGGCCCACGAGGTAGGGGGCGCCCCCCCCACCCTCGTGGCAAGACGGTGGGCCCCCTGGCCTTCATCTTTGGCATGCATTTTTCTTATTTTCTGAA